CACTTATTGGTTCAGACTGTTTGTTTCAGCCTCTTAATGGTTCAGATGTCTGAATGGCTAAGAGATTTGCCTCTGAATGGTTAAATATTATACAGAGTCTGAATGGTTAAGACCTTTTATCTGAATTGATCAGACATTTGCCTCTGAATAGTTAAGCAATATACTAGCTCTTAATGGTTCAGACCTCTTACCGGTTCAGCACTTACCGATTCAGAAGTTGCCAAACAGCCCCTAAGAGCAACTTCATTGGGAAAGGAAAGTTTGAGTATTGGTGATATGTAATAGGGAAAGGAAGTGGAGTGGCTATGTTAATTAAAGTGAGGAAAGAAAAGAGAGAAGGGAATAGAGAAACAATATATGCACGGAGGTAAACATATATAGAAGAGAGAAAAGAAAGGGGAGGAAGAAAGAAAATGAGGAGAAGAAAGAACGAGAAGAAAACCGAAAGAAAAAATTAGGAGTGAATGTGGTACGGCATTTGGGTTATACGATTCCATACTACTCCGTAAATATTTCGGTTCGGTATGAGATTTTTAATCGTACCGATCCCAATCCCAAAGTATCAATTCGGTATAGTTCGGGATGGTCCAATTGCGGCTTCGGATATATACGTACCTAGTTTACACTTTGAAATGTACAAAACTTTTTGTTTATAAAATTGAAAGTACATTTAGGTAAAGAAAGATAAACAATTGAAAAATGAACAATTAAATATAAGAAATGCTTATAAAACTTAGTTTAATTCATACTTCGTATTTCATAAACAAAAGAGAACGAATGATAATTAAATAGTATTTCAAATAAATGTTATTTTTATATATATTCATCTACAAAAAATTAAAATCCAAATAAACAATTATTTGAATAAATTATTATTTGTAATTCATCTACACTTGAACCAAATCAATTTATTTTTTAATAAAGAAATATACAAATTTATTATTTTTATAACATATATGTATATATGTTCGGTTTGGGATTTTATGATATGAGAAGTTACCTCGTACCGATCTCAAACGGTTCGGTGCGGTACGGTTCTTTTTTGGTATTTTATCAGTTTTGTATTTTTTGGTTCAATAATTTTGTTTTTTTTGAGAAATTTCGAGATTGATTCGGTACTTGCTCACCTCTAAAAAAATAGAAGAAGAAAAGGAGAAAAACATGACAAAAAATAGAACTTTGAATTTTTTTTACAATGGTAAGAATTTGTTTTTTCCATAAGTGTCATTTTTGGGCTTTTTTTGTATTCAAATTGTTAGTTTTAATTGACAAAAAAACAACCACTTTTTTATTATTTTATTTTTTTTGAGCTACACCAAAAAAAGAAAATTTTAAATTTTAAAAATTGTTTGGGGGTTGTGTTGTATGGTTTAGTATTTTTTACGAGTATAATATACTCCCTCCATCCCAAAAAGATTTACACGTTTTGACTAAAGTTGAAATTAAGAGAGGGATAATTTTGTATTGACTTTCCAAAAATACCCTTAATGTGATAGGTAGGGATTGAAAAAGTAAGGGGTAAAAGTGGTTTTTTAATAGAAATGGGTAGGATATTGTGGGACGCAATTTTTTTAAAAGGTGTAAATCTTTTTGGGACGGAGAGAGTATTTGTGTTGATTTTAAGTTATAAAATGTAAAGAAAAATATGTGGAACTTAATTTTATATTAAACCTCAAAATATAAATTTAGTTAATTATCTTGATTTAAAATGAATTTATGACATGTGAAGTTCATTATTTAAAAAAACTTAAAGTGGGAGAAATTATTAAAGAGACGTGAGGAAAGTTAAGAGAGAAAGTAATCTGGAATGAAAAACAAGAGAGAGAAAAGAGAAAGTGAGGGGAAAGAGTAAAGAATTTACCTTCTTTGATATCTATCATTACATACAAACAATTCAAAGATGTGGAATGTCCACCCCAGACGCACCTACACATCAGCTTGACAGGATTGTGAGAGAGATAAATTATTTTATAATCTCAATCAAATTTTTAGAGAGGCCGTCTTATGTCCGATGCATACAATGCAAGGAGCTATTAAAAATTTACAGCTAATAGAACTCTCACAACAGGCGCTACCACTTGGCTCTGATACCACTTGTAGGACCTCAGGCGCTACCAACTCTTCTAAAACTAATTGATGTTAAAAGAGGCGCATACCCTAGCCTTATAGTGCATTCAGCACACAATCGCCCACAACATTCGATTGTGACTTGGCTCACATAGCCTCTGCCACGGGATTATTGCTGCACACATGGCCAACAATATCGCTGCCACAATTCAACCCTCTAGGATCAACAAATTGACATCCTCTCTCATTGGACCAGTTGAGCTACCCATGTAGGCACATCCTAGCAGTTCAAGCAAACACACAAGTTGATCCATCATTAGTCTTTTTATATTTCTTTTTTTGTATTTACCAAGATTTAAAAAATTATTTTAAAAAATAATTAAGTTTATAAAAATATTTATCATTATTCCCTTTTATTTCTTTTCAAAACAATATATATACTATACACATGTTAATAAAGGTGCATTATAAATAAAACTAAAATTTAAAAAAATCATATCAAATAATTAAAAATATATTTATTTTAAAAAATTAAAAATAAAGTTATATTTTAATTTACTACTAATTTTTTTAAAACTTTAATTTTTTTAGATAGTATATGTGTTCACGTAATTAAGTACTATTAAAAGTAGTTTAAAAATTAGTGGAGTGAAAATAGCGTGTGAAGTGTGTTTAATGTTTTGGGAGGGTGTGACTATTACCACTGCACCTTTCACATTTAGGTAGATTTCTTCAATAACCATCATTGTGTACAAACAATCAAGCAAACACATACGTCGATCCATCATTATCCTTTTTTTTTCTAGCACCATTAATTGTATTACAATTTACGAGTATTATTTATTTAAATATAAGAGAAATTTCGAACCTATCTTTTCTCATTCGTAAGAACGACAGTGATGCCGTTAAATCACAAAGCATTAATCTTCATATTCTTTTCTTTAAATGATAATGTTGGAATGTGAAGGGAAATCAACTCTTATGAAAGAGACTTAGGCCCCGTTCCGTTCAATTTATTTTTTCTTATTTTTTCTTATTCTTATTAAAATTAGATCAGATCAGATCAGATCCAATCAGATCAGATCAGGACTTATTAAAATCAGATCCTGTCAAGAATTATTATTATTATTATTATTATTATTATTATTATTATTATTATTCTTGTTGTTGTTGTTGTTCTTAAAAATGAAAAAGAATAAACTTTAGAAATAGGTTAAATAGAAAACTGAGAAAACTGAGAAATCTAATTCTACTTTTAAAATATATTTTTATTGCTACTTGTAATTTGAGTTTCTAAAGGTTTGATCTTTTATAAGGATGAGGTATTTTAATAAAAATACTATCTCTTCTATATATTGATTATCTAAATTTAATTACTTTTTAATGTATATCTAAATTAAATATTTATTCTAATGTATATATAAAGTAATTATTAAAATATTAAATTAATATTCTAATTTCACAAAAAAATAATCATAAAATAAAAAATATTACTACATTATAATATAAATTATTATTCTAATATATGAATTAACTATTTTTATTTTATTAAAAGATAATAATTAAATAAAAAATATTGATTATGTTGTAATATAAATTATCATTACAATTTTCAAACGTTATTATAAAGTCAAATCAAATTATTGATTTGAAATTTTAAATTAAATCATAATTAATTAGATCAGACCAGATCAGATCAGATCCAATTAGATCAGATCAGATCCAATCATATCAGATCAGATCAGATCTAATCAGATCAGATCAGATCTAATCAGATCAGATCAGATCAGACCATATCAGATCAGAACTTATTAGAATCAGATCAGATCAGAAAAAATAAGTTGAACGGAATGGAGCCTTAGTGGCCAATTGAGGACTGGTTTTTTGGATGTTCATTGCTCACTTATCACCATACAATTTGTGGTTTAGATAATTAATTACTTGAACAATTTGCCTTCCAGCAGCTGCTATGAGACATGATTTGGGGAGAAAATTTAGATCCCCACACAAATTCAATTACTTTCTCTCTCTCCCCCTCTCTCTCTTACAAAGTTTTTAAAAAATTAAAATTATGTTATTGAGATTTATGCAAATTAAAAGAAAAAATAATACTTCCCCCATCCTAAAAATAGAATAATACTCCGTATAACAATAGAATATTGCAAAACTACTTGGAGTGGTATATTTTAAAATGAATCTATTGATATTAAATTTATATAAAAAACAATGTTTTTTTCATGATATGCAGTTAGAGTTTATAAAATTTGACAAAAGTAAAGTTTCTTTATATAATTATATTGATTCTTTATATTTTTACTCTCTTCACCTCACAACAAATCATTCATTGTTTGACTTTACATAGTTCATTAAAAGTGCTCAAAGTAAAATGAGTGTGGACTAGACAAAGTTTTTTACTCCCTCCATCCTAAAATTAGACTCTTGTTTGATTTACGGTACTTGAAATTTTTTCAAATCAATATAAATAAAAGTTGGAGTATAATTGAAAAATAAAAACTACGGAATATAAATTACAGAACAAAAAAAATCTCCAAAATAATGGGTGGGTGGTAACAAAATTATTTTATTTTGTCAAATGATCTATGAATAGGCACACACTGACACACATATACACATATACATAATACATATATATATAACCTATAATTAATTTAAATTATGAATAATAACTATAAATATTTTTTGAGATGAAGGGAGTATGAAAAAGAGAAATTTTGTTTGTCACATGCATACTCTTTAATTACTTTTTAGGAATACAAGAGTGTGCATTTTTTAAGACATCCAAATAAATAAAAGTATAAAATTTGGCGTGAATTGACGAGAATGATTCAGTGCATATATTCAAAACCCCAAATTTCAGTGGCGGTTCATATCATTTGCTTATATTGAATATAGAAGCAGGGAATTGGTGTAGAAAAGGATTGATTTCATGTGGCATGATAATATATGCCTCCCATGCCTTTGTTTTAAAAGGTAGGTCCCTATTTTCTTATCTTCATTTGTATTGCAATGTCCCTCCCCAATAATCAAATTGTGTGAATAATGTGAACCATTTTCTTTTTTAAAAAAATGAAAATGGAACATAATTGAAAGAGGGAAATGTTAATGGCCACTCAAAATAATTCTCAAGTGGGTCAAATAACTCAAATATAGGCGCACTTTTTTTGTAAAGGAAATATAGGTGCACTATTACTAATATTTTATATAGTGTTTCATATTGGACTCTAATCTTATTTGACACTTAGGAAGGAGGATTTTGTGAGGTACTTGTGTGAGTTGGGGACAAGCTTGAAGGGTAGGAGGTCATACACACTCCGAGAATCGATTAGAGGATAATGCAAAAGTTGACCACAACTCTCGTCTTAGAGATATTATAAGTGGAGAATGAAGTAATCCTCCAAGAAGTCAAAAGTGGTTTCAGAGACATTCGGCTGCATGACACTAATGTTGGGTCCAGGTAGATCGGCCGCATCGACAAACTTTCAATCAGTGATATTTCAACAACAATGTGTAATAATATCGTCTTTGAGGAGTGCACGGTGTTGGTTGTGACTCTCGCGAGAAAAGAAAACATGACATTGCGTAGGGATTTTGTTACGGGACTATTACTATTATTATTATTATATTATTATTATTATTATTATTATTATTATTATTATTATTATTATAGGTAAGGAGCTATTTATCGTTAGATAATTATTATTAGAGAATATTATTTTTGTTAGGTTATTAATTAGTTTCTTATTTTATTTAGTTTCCTTTTAGAGATTGGATTCCCTTAGGCTTTTAGAGTTTCACTCTATATATTGAGATGTATTGCTTTAGAATTAAATCAATAAAGAACAATCATTTTCCAACCCTAATCTCTTCCTCTTATCTCTCGTTCTTCTCTTCCGCCGAACAAAGATTCGCGGTTCTCTCCCTCTTCTCGTCTCTTTTTCTCTTGGAGCTTGAAGAACGCTCGAAGTTCTTCCCTATCCCGATACGATACCGTATCAGGTTTTNTTTATCGTTAGATAATTATTATTAGAGAATATTATTTTTGTTAGGTTATTAATTAGTTTCTTATTTTATTTAGTTTCCTTTTAGAGATTGGATTCCCTTAGGCTTTTAGAGTTTCACTCTATATATTGAGATGTATTGCTTTAGAATTAAATCAATAAAGAACAATCATTTTCCAACCCTAATCTCTTCCTCTTATCTCTCGTTCTTCTCTTCCGCCGAACAAAGATTCGCGGTTCTCTCCCTCTTCTCGTCTCTTTTTCTCTTGGAGCTTGAAGAACGCTCGAAGTTCTTCCCTATCCCGATACGATACCGTATCAGGTTTTATCGACTTAGACTTCTTCTCTAGTCGCATTTTCTAGACTTCCAGTTAGAACAACACATGGTTTGGGTCCACACTAGAGACCTTCGTATCCAATCTTTGTAATTTTTCAAATGTCACACAATAACCCTTTCGCTCTATGATAAACACTTGGCCTAGAGAGAGTTGTCGAATTGGTGGCTTAGAAGAGGCATTAGCAAGTTCAGGGTGAAAGATTAGGCAAGTACAAATCATTTAAGGTCTAATAGAACATCGTAGAATATCTTGGATGTCATATTACAGGGAATAACACTTAACACTGAACTATGTTTCAAAAAGGAGTGATGAATCCGTCCCCCCAATGATCAAGGTTCCCGCCTAATTCTTGGATCTTCTCGTACAAGTGTTGGCTTGGAAACTAATGTGGCAAAAAAGTTCGTTTCACTCAAGTTAATGTGTTTAATCATAAAATCTGTATTAAAAATGTCCATGTAATTAAAATGAATGTGAGAACCATGAGAGTACTCCCTATTTGTTTTCAAAAGAAGATGACTGATAATAATAATAAAAAAATATAATAAATATAATAATTGTGTGGACCCTCTCTCACCACTAAGGCACACTCCCCATCTCATATTCTCAATCCAGATTCTTGATTTTTATTATCTATTCTTTGATTATTTATTCCTTTATTCATCGCTCCACTCGCACTCCTCGCTTGGTTCAGATTTGGTTTCTTACATTTCATTTCATCCATCTGATCTGTAACTTCAGCTACCTCCCCCCCCCCCCCCCTGTATCTGCACCGCGTTTGTGAATATATATAGTTATGTATTATTATATGTATATATGTGTGTGTGTATTGCGGCATCTAAATTTCATTTTCTGATTCCGGGCGATTTTGACTTTCAAAGAAATTCATGTAAATCCCTCATCTCTGACCCTAAAGATCGAGTTTTTCATCCAAAGATCGAGCTTTACTTACACCCATGGATTGTAATTTGCTCGTAGCAGTAGCTTGCTTATAGAGACAGTTCTGGAAATAGACGGGGAGATGAGGTGGAATTATGGGTCGGCGAGGTGCAGGAGTCGCCGCCACAGCTCGGCGGTGGCGGCGGAGGAGGCGGAGGCGGAGTTGAAGAGGGGGAGCTGCTGGGCTGACTTGCCGATTGAGCTATTGAGGGAGGTGTTGATGAAGGTGGAGGAGTCGGAGGAGAGGTGGCCGTCTAGGAGGAGCGTGGTGGCCTGTGCCGGAGTTTGCCGGAGCTGGAGGGAGATCGTGAAGGAGGTGACACATACCCCGGAAGCTTCTGGAAGAATTACTTTCCCAATTGCAGTCAAGCAGGTCTGCATAGCTCTCTCCCATCTTAGATAGACCATTCTTTCTTTCTCTCTTTCTTCCATTTCTCTTTTGATTTGTCTGTGTTGGGTTTGAACTGGTTTCTTGAATTGGGATTTTCATTTTTCAGAGTTTGAGCTTTATGATCATTATGATGATGTTTTAGTATAAGTTATAACCACTCTTTTTAGCTTTGAAGTAAAGATATGCCACTGAAGTATTATAGTTCTTGGCTGTTGATTGTTGCAGAATGATTTTTTCCTCTAGTATGCGTTTTTTTGAGAGGGAGATAATTAATCAAGAGTGTTTTAGGTATTCTAATGTGCTTCAAAAATTTGAGAACAATGATTTCCCCTCTAATATGAGCATGTGTCATTTATATAAGAATCGAGGGTTTATAATTTCTCAATGAATTTCACGCCGCAAGAATTTTATAACACCGATCATTTGTATCTATGATTTTTGGGATGAAGTGTGGATGGTGTAGGATTTGTGCATTTTTCTTGTTTTTTTTTTTTGAAAAAATGTGTTGTGTATGAGGTGCAGCCTGGCCCAAGAGACCATCTGATGCAATGCTTTTTGAAGCGGTGCAGTTCTTCTCAGACGTTTCGCCTCTACCTCAACTTGACTCAAGGTATGCGAGTTGTGAAACTAGTTTAAAATGACAAATATGTCCTTCGAATGAGTTTGTTGCTCATTCATGTCAACAGTGCTCGTATCCTATGTCTGGGATATTTTAGACAATTCATCATAACATCTTCGTTGAATATGGAAAGTGGACAACTAAATTCAGATGGAGGGAGTATAGGATTCCAAGAGTCAATGAATATTCTTTACGAATTAAGATGATGATTATGCATTTGATGTATGATTGTTTCACTCCTGATTGGCTTGGCAGCGTTGACTGATGAAGGGAAGTTTCTGCTTGCTGCTCGCAAGTATAGGCGCACAACTTGCACGGATTATATTATATCTCTCCATCCCAGTGATATGTCTAAGGCTAATGGCAATTATATTGGAAAAGTGAGGTGGGTAATCAATTTTGGAGTTTTTTTAATTCAGAATCTCGAATATAGGTTTATTTGTTTAATAAGAAGATTCAAAATTCTCGGTTTTTTAAAGGTTGAGTTGATAGTTTCAATCACGTTGGTCCTAAATTGATACTTCGTCTATTCTTTTTATGATACATCATAAGTTAAATGAATATGGACATGCGTCTTGTCTACATTCATTCATTTTTTGTGTATGAATTTAATCATAATACACCGTTATAAAGGAACGGAGGGATGGTAATTTTTATCTTTTGTGTCCCTGATTGATGACCAACCTATATTTTGGATCCGTAGGCTTAATGTATTCTCACATTAAGAATAAACGTGTCTTTTTTTTTAATTAAGGTCAAATTTTCTGGGGAGCAAGTTTACGATATATGATGCTTCACCCCCACTTAGGGGGGATAAAATGGTGAAAAGTCATCACACTTATCCTGAAGCCTTGAAATCGATCAACTCAAGATTCGCTGTAGGAAACTATGAAGTAGCTCACATTTCATATGAGCTGAATGGGCTTGGAAACCGGTAAGATTTTGCATTGTTTATGTATGCTTATAAGCTGATTATACAACATTCGGTAATTATACGTACCCTTTAACTAAGGGTCCGTTTGGTATACGGAACTGGAATTGAATTGGAATTGAAATTCCATGGAATTCAATTCCATAGAATTGAATTCTGCCAATTCCAATTCATTTTTAGCACTATCAATTCCCAATCCACATGATTTTTGTGCTACCAAATACCAGAATTGGAATTAAAGTCCTCAATTCCAATTCTATAGTTTGAATTCCATGTACCAAACAAGACCTAAATATACAAAGTACACAACAACAACAACAACAACAACCCAGTTAGATCCTAATGAATTTTCTCTCATATGAAACAGGGGTCCAAGGAAAATGCAATGTGTCATGGACACTATTCCGGCATCTTCAATAAGACCGGGAGGCATGGCCCCCACGCAGACCCATTTTCCGGTCGTCAGTGACGATTCCTTTCCCACAATACCCTTCTTCAGGTCAAAATCCACGTCCAAAGCGTCCGAGAGTCGACCCGGCGGGTCTCTGGTCCTGAAAAACAAGGCGCCCAGATGGCACGAGCAGCTCCAGTGCTGGTGCTTGAACTTTCACGGGCGGGTAACGGTCGCTTCGGTCAAGAACTTCCAGCTGGTGGCTTCCCCGGAGAACGGGGCGGCGGGGACCGAGTGCGAGAAGGTGGTTCTCCAGTTCGGGAAGGTCGCGAAGGACGTTTTCACCATGGATTTCCGGTACCCGCTGTCGCCCTTTCTCGCCTTCGCCATCTCTCTCAGCAACTTTGACTCAAAGTTGACTTGCGACTAAGACGTGGATTGGACGGTGCGGTTCGACTTACCTTCTCTAGTACTCACTCCATAATTCAATTTTAACTTTTTTCTAGTCAAACTAGATGAAATTTTATCATCAAATTCGGTGGGTTCTAGTGACACCGGCTTTTGGTGACACTAGCGGTACCACTGTCATTTTGGAGCACTTTTGGTGCTCCGTTCGTAAAATTGACGGTTCCTACCCGCATAACCCACCCCCTAAACCCCCCACCCTACCTTCGCCCCTGCACCCCACCCCAACCCCGCAGTAAGCCCCTCACATAATGTGTGGCTATTATGAAATGCATAATAGCTACACGTTTTGTGGGGGGCTTGGGTGGGGGTGCAGGGGCTGGGGTAGGGTGGGGGGTTTAGGGGGTGGGTTAGGAGGGGTAGGAACCGTCAATTTTACGAATAGAGCACCGGAAGTGCCCCAAAATGACAGTGGCACCGGAGTGTCACGGGTGTCACTAGAACCCCACTGCATCAAATTATATTGAATTTGCCTTAATGTTAGCAACACGGTTTGGATGACACTGAGCTTCAATGTCTTCCTATGACCGTGACCCCGATACTAATCTGTTCTTGTTAAACAGGGTGCAGGACCCCCCCCCCCCCAAGATCGCATTGACACGAAACGACAGTGATTAATAACTGAAGTGCGCCTGGGGAGATGTTGGACATGAGATCAGATGACAAAGGCTTGAGTTTGTGTGTGTGGTTTTCTCATACTTTTACTTTGGATTTCAGTCTTTTGATTGTTATTTTCCCAATTTGTTTTGTGAGAGAAAACTCCATTGCAAATAGATTATTAATCTTGCTGTAAATTCTTCCCTTCATATCCTTCTTTTGGATATTCATAAAAATAATGTATTAAAAAAAATGAAATCTTTGAACTCTTCCAACCCATCTTTGTCATTTTAGGTGTTGGTCTAATTCATTGTATCTTCAACAACCTTTTCTTTTTTCCTCTTAAATTTATTGTTTTCATTATTATCTGGTGCCAAAATATGTCAATTTCCCTATCTTGGTTTGAATGCTGTTTTTTCTTGTCTGTGGGGTGTGACATTTGTCTCAAAATAAATATGGAGTAAATGAAATGTTTCAAGAATTATTTGACATTATATATCAATAAAATCTAGTGTGTTTGTGTAGGAATTGATTAAATAAATTCTAAACAATGATTTGTGACTAAACATTTTATGTCACTAACTTTCCAATTAAGGTCATAAAAAAAACGTCGGACTTGTGCGTCATTAAGTTGAGAAAGTATGAATAAATATTACGGAGTACATTTAATAAAGTCAATAGCATTCAAAAAAGTGGAAGTGGAGCATGTCACCAATACTCCCTCCGTCCAATAACAATGTTCTCGTTGCATGTTACGATGTTTGACTGAAATTATTTTCAAATTATTTTAAAATGAAAAATCACATGGAATTAAAAGATAAAAATTACCAAGTATATATTTAAAAATTAGATAAAAATATCCACAAAACTAAAAGTAACATGACCTATTTAGGAGTTTCATGTTTTTATTTCCTGAATAGGAGCTCGCATTGTGGTAATGTGGCACTGTATATGTGCATTTTAGTATACTTTTTGGTAATGTACATGGTCATGATTGATAATGTAAATGTATTTTAACTCTTATTTCAAGAATAAAAACATGGAACTCCTATTTTGATATATTTTCAATGTTTTACTCCAATTTTGGTCTTTCCCCCCATAAAGTTCGACACGTCGAACCCCGATTTATTCCGTATTTCCTTTGACATACATCTTTCAACCACCTGAGATACGTCACTCGGATACAAAATTAATTTATTTAAGACCATAACAAAACACTATGATGATTGATGATGATGATGATGAATTGATGATGATAACAACTAAAAGAATATGCTGAAATAAATGCTTGAAGTATAATGGGGAAAGTTTTGCACCTTTCAGATCTTATCAATTGTTGTCTCAAGGGTTAGCTGTTCTTCGTTGCCCCCTATGCGATAGGGGCAAAACTGGTGGGGGCAAACCTCATCATATTCACTGGATTTCACCTTTGTTTTAGGAAGGAAAAAAATCACTTTTAATTCCAAAAGTTGGCCTAAATATAATTTTGGTGTCACGCGATGTTTTATTTCAATTTTAGTGTCAAAAGTTGAATTTTTGGGATACCTTTCGTAGTTTCGTTGGAAAAGAATGAGATTGTATCCAAAAAAAATAAATTTTTATGTGCTATTTCATTTTATTTGATTTATCTTAATTTATTAATTTTTCTTATTGGGATCAGTTGAGATTAGATCAGAAACAAATTTAAATATAAATATATTCAAATCAGAACATGTCATATCATATAATAAGAACTTATTCTAATCAGATTAGAATAATTAAAATCTGGTCAAGAGAACATGACTTAAGTGTATAATTATACAAAATTAAAACAAGAGTAAATTTCATAGTTGGTTTTTTATAACAGAGAATATTCTATAATTAGTCTTCTATTATCAAATATTACGCCCGTGGTTCTTCTTTTATGAGCACCTTTTCATAAATAATACTCCGTACTTTTTTAATCTTCTGTCATATTGGTGTATTAATTTGAAGGTTAAAAATATAATTTTACAATGATCATATGTCTTTCTTGTCATACACACTGCAATAGGTCGCTCATGATGCGTCATTTGTAAATCGCAGTTACTTTATGCTACAACCACAGTTTATAAATGTGGATCTTTCATCGGAATCTTAGTCAACAACCATAGCCATTTTTTGTATTTTTTGTATAATCGACATCAGAACACGTCAGTGAACATAGGATTGATATCAAATTATACTTTTAGATATCAAATTGACACGAACATGACAGCAGGTCAAAAAAGATTATTCGTGAAAATGTACCCATAAAAGAAGAACCATGGATATAATATTTGATAATGGATGATTAAATGTGAAAAACCAATCACAAAATTTATCTTTAAAATACTAAAAATAACAACAATAACAATGACAATAATAATACGAAGTAGTAGTAATAGTAGTAGTAGTAGTAGTAGTAATAATAATAATAATAATAATAATAATAATAATAATAGTAATAATAATAATAATAATAATAACAACAACAACAACAACAACAATAATAATAATAACAATAATAATCATATCATTAAGGTTCGAAGCTGTTTTTGGATGAATCGATTACCCAAATGCGGAGTATTAAAATTGTTTTTGAATTGTTTAACTTATGGACTAAGATATACAGAATTCAAACTATGAAACTAGAATTAGAGACAACAATTTTAATTCTACTGTTTGGTAGCACAAAAATATGTGGATTTAGAATAGGTAATGCCAAAAGTGAATTGGAATTGGGAAATTCAATTCCATCCAAATCAATTCCATAGAATTTAAACTTTCAATTCAATTCTAATTCCATCAATTTCATGTACCAAACAAAGTCCACTACTGCCATGACCTCTTACACAAGGTGAACCAAAAATTGAGCTATCATTTGGAGATGAAAATACGGGCCCTAGGTTGGTATCAATTGGTATCAGAGCTAACCCCTACCCTCATGTTCGTCTGATCTACTCGCTAGCGGCCACCATCGATGACGATAGTATGCGATGAGTGGTAAATTGTTGCAATACCCAAGTAAGATCCCACACTGGTCGGCGAGGTGCCCTATTCAGTGGGATATATTATTGGCCTTCGACTCTCCTTTCTTTGAGCTAGCTTTTGGGGATGAAATTACGGGTCCTAAATTGGTAACATGAAGGTCTCGAGTTTGAATCACCCCAAAAGCAATATGGAGGGTTTCTCATCAATGAACATTTAGTTCCGAAATAGTTAAAGATGTCTCACTTGGGGTTAGAGTTTAGAGGATTAGGATTATTCCGATCCAAGTTGGAAGTCCCACTTGTGACATCATTTTTGACCCCAAAGACAAACACGCATACAATAATAGTTTGTGTAAAACACGCAGACAATAACAGTTTGTGTAGAACACGCAGACAATAACAGTTTGTGTAGAAGTATATATGAGTGTCCGTGTTTGCTTTTAGTGTTAAAACTGGTGTAACGTGTGAGATTGCCCTAGCATTGCCCATTGAACATTTTGTTGGAATATAAGAAACCCAGGTGGAAAAGTAGAAGTTATACACCAAATAGGTTCATGTACCAAAGTTTGAATCAATACTTGTAAAATTTGATGATTTTAGACGAACAAAAAAAACCCAGTTAAAGTTTATCGGCATCATACCCGTTCAACACCCAAGATAAATAGATCTCAAACACATAATATTTCCTTCTAAAAGAGAAATTTAAAATAAAAAAGAGAGTCAAATAAGAGACATAGAGAGTAATACTTCCATTATCAAAACTTCCATTTTCACTTGCCATGCCAAAATTCTTAGCAGATCAGAGAGAATATACACAAACCTGTTTATATATATAGAAATATTTTTCCATTTGCATTTATATCATAATATGCAGTAATATTCTAGATGGCCTACCAGTAAATGAAATAACCAGCACAGCTCTTATTCTCCATACAAAAACACTATCAAACTTACTCACCTCACAGCTGAAGCCGAGAGAAATCCGAACTCATCACTGAAATGCCGTCAAACGTTCCTTCTGCCCGTCTCGCCTCTCTGCCTTTGGAAGATGAAGATGATGCCACCTGGCTGTGGGGTGGGACCCTGTGACCCGGTGCTGAGCAAACTGGGACAACTGATCGGATTTGGACAGCGGGAGCCATTGTCCTAGCACAGGGCACTCTGCTCCTCTCTAGCCATGGTCTTGGAACTCTGGATGTCGCAGCATTTATGTTGATTTGAGAAGTTTCGGGTGGTGGAAAAAGAGGAGGACGTCTGGTAGAGCACGGAGGCGGCAAGAACCTCGAGTAGTCGGCATTCCGGCGGCCTATGGTGGGCTGGCCCACCGTTACTGGCCCAGTGTCATTTCTTAGAAAGCCCGGATTGACCCAACTCACAAGATCCTCACGGTTACTAGTTTTCACGTGAGAATTCACATTCTTGTTAAGCCACTTCTCTTCAGGTTGGTTATTGTGTTCTTCTATCTCTTCTATCCTGGCCCGACTAGTACCAGCGGGGACCACATCACCACCAGCCATATACAAAAATGGACCCCTTTGCACCAATGGGTCGTTTGGGAAGGTATATGGGCCGAATATGGACTGTACAAAAGGGAAAAATTGAGGCCCAGAGATGGAGAGCGGAGGTGGAGGAGAAGTCAGGAGGTAGCTTCTTGGCAGTGTCACTCCATGATGCCAGTTTTGATAAGAAGCCATTTCTGGGGAAAGAGGAAAATATGTGTAGTTTTGATGGCCCGGTCGTCGTCTGTTGACGTGATATGGAATGACATCATTCTTAACAGGAGGCTTTAGGGGTGGTTTCCTTCTTTCTGGTAATTTAAATTTGGAAAGGTAGCGGGCAACTGACATTTGCTCCTGCTCTTCCTTTCCTCCACTTTCTGAAGAAGGGGAGCCAGAAGAATCTTGCATAGATACTGCACATGAATAATGATGATGATGATGATGATAACAAGAACAAAATAATAACAATAACAACAAAAACAATTTCAGATAAAAGAATGAATTCTGTTTATAGTAATACTTATATGAGGTAGTCAAGCATTGCTGCTTATGCGAGACCTATCACCTTTCAGCTGAGAACTACTCCCGCAGTCCCAAAACAAAAAGTCATGTTTTAATACTTATTTTTTCCCAAAGAAACAAACAAACAAAAGAAGCTAACTTTCATTGAATGTAATGTAACCTCTCACTTTTTAAATCTAAAAGAAAGAGAGTTCAAGACAAGCTAAGTTTTTATTACAGCCCGTTAAATTGAGTTTCAAAACAAGTGAAGTTTAAAAATGTAAGTAGGATTGATAATTTACACGAGCAGTATCCTACAAAAATGTAAAAGTTATGCCTTGATGTAACATGACTTCTTTATTTATGAAGACAGTAAAACTTAGTGACTAAAAAATCAACAACAACAACAACAACCCAGTTGGATCCCACTACAGTAGGGTCTGGGGAGGGTGTGTGTACGCAGACCTTGCCCCTACTCGGAAGCAGGGAGGCTGTTTCCAAGAGACCCCCGGCTCAACCTGCACAAAAAATATGATAGGGTACACAGTATAGCATGGGTAAAACACCAAGTACAATGAAAAGAAAGTTCTACAAGCATTAATAGAAGATTCCAATCAAACACAACACACTACAAAAACCTCTGTAGCACCGAGTTCCTAACCAGCTACTCTAATCCTAGTTCTCCAAAGGTTCCTATCTAAAGCCATATCCTCAGTCAGGGTGAAAAGTCCTAAATCCTGTCTAATCACCTCCTTCCAATTCTTCTTAGGTCTACCCCTTCCCCTACTTCCCCTGATAACCGTAATCCGCTCGCATCTCCGTACAGGGGCGTCAGCATCCCGCCGTCTCACATGACCAAACCATCTCAACCTCGCTTCCCGCAATTTATCTTCCACCGGCGCCATGCCTACCTGACGTCGGATAACTTCGTTCGAAATCCTATCCAACCTTGTCTTCCCACACATCCATCGTAACATCCGCATCTCCGCCGCATGCAGACGACGCACATGAGTCTTCTTAACCGCCCAACACTCTGCTCCATATAACATAGCAGGTCTGACTAAAAAATAGTGACTAAAAAATCAAAGCATTTCAAAATACTATGTTTTCTACACAATTTGAAAAGTTGTAGTTTTGAGCCTTTTGGCCCAGAAGTATATTTGAAAATTGATAAGCATCTCCCAGATTAAGCTTTTGTGATACCATCTGATGTTTTTCTTTTTTCTTTTTTATATTTTAAAGTGTGTACCACATTGTTTGAAGGAAAGAGGAATTTAAATATTATACGCACAGTTCTTCAAGGAAAACCAAGCACCCATTGCCGCACTTTTTTGAGCTTGCTTCTTGGTTTTTGCAGGCTCTCCCTTGAAACTCATTCCAGCAAGTTCAACTGTGCAAGAAAAGAGCGGAACACCTCCTACCCCAGATCTAACAGTGGTATAAACTGGAAGATTCAACCCAGCCCGATGAGCAGTTTCTTGAAGCAAATTTTTGTAAACTCCAGTCTCATCCTGCATGTGTACAGTGAAGAAAGAAATCAGCAGGCTTCTAAAAAAAGATTAAGGTGATAATTACAAGTTTTCATTTTGAGATGAGTAAATAAAAAATGGAACCCATCAAGTAAAAGGATTAAAGAACAAGTCGAGAAAAGAAAAAAACTAGTCATGTTATTAAGAAATTCAAAAGTGGACACTATTAGAACAGTACAAAAAAAAAAGTTAACAAAATATGACAAGAGTAGTAAATAATACAGTAACCATAAGAAAGAAAGTCATTTATTAACCCAATCACAGCCAGGAATTTTAAAATAACAAGGTTATGTCTATTTTGCATATTGTAGAACTTCAATGATCACAGCTAAAACAATCATAACAGAGAAATTAAGTTACACAGTGACACTCTTAGTTGGAGGAATCAACAATTTAGTGTTCTCAATCAATGATAATTATGGATCAAGTTATATTTTCTTTCTATAAACCTTAAAACTGTCTAATTATTATCAAATCTCAGAGCCACTTGGATATGATTGCATTGCTGTGAATAGAGTGCACTCTTTCTTTTTGAAATCCAGAAATACATCCAAAATACAAATTGGCATACCCAAGTACAAATGCAAAAAATGAGTGCCCAACTGCCGCAGAAACTATCCAAGAACTTAGAAGTAAATACATTCAAGAACAAACAATTGTGCAAGTTGTTTTTTAATGATGTGTTATACCAAAGCCAGAAACAAGTATTGAAATCCAACCTTAAAAAGATCAATCTACCTCCCATTATAATTTATACATACATCAAGCAGAAGTGGGGGAATAATTGCGATTTTTTGGAGGGGGTGGGGGTGGGAGGTAGATGTATAGTTACATCTTTTTGTTGGAGAAGTAGAACAATAACATTAATTGAGATTATAGAAACTCTTAAAGTTTGATGTATCATTCAATCGAACCAATATTGCTATTATGGGGTGTTTGGTCCAAAGCATTGGAGATTGCAAGAGGAGATATGACAAATACAATAGGATATCTAATTGCATTTGTTTAGAATATCTTATAACAATTTTTTAGAAATTTCCTATTACAAGAATAGGAATTTACCTTAATGTTGGTCAAGCACAAATGTGACACTGCTTAGAGCAACAACCACCACCACCACAAACCCAGTATAATCCCAATTCCCAACTTAGTTGTTACACAACCGTACTTTTGTAAAAAAATAGAGAAGTTGTTTCCGTTTGACCCTTGATGTATTGATGCTAAAAATGTTGTCAAATTATGATACTTAGAATGGACTAAAAGATTCGCATGATATGTTACAATTTACAATAGCAAGGAAAATGAAGGTAATTGAACATTCATAATAACCTCTATTTTACTAAAAAACAAAAAACAAAAGATGATGGTAAAGTTAGATAATCAGATTACCTTAGCTAAACAAGATTATGTTACACACTTACACTACCTTAATTACACCTAGATAGTGTGTCCAAAAACATTTGCAGTGCCATGTGATCCACCTACTGCAACTAATTGAAGAGGCATCCAAGATAATTGGACACACTAAATGGGAATATGGGATGGTCTCAAGGAGAAAAGGTTTCCTAACTACAATTTGCCTCAATTCCATGCCACAAATGGGGGAAAGGGTTTATTCACAGCAAGCAACCAAAAAACAAAATGTATCTAAACTCGTCAAACAAGATAATAAGAAATGGAAAGCGTAGTTTTTTAAAAGGTGAAGTACCAAAACTCTTGCAGCTAATGCTCTTGAAGGGCCTCTCTGTGAGAGGGTTTTAAGTGCAACCTCAGCCGAAGCATGTTCTGCCTGTCTCAATGTTGAGAAGAAGTTTGGGCTCTCAAAGGCTTCACCGTTGAAACTTACTTTGGCTTTGAAGCGAGGTGCATGATCGGGTCCTTCTCGTATACATGAGTAGGATGGCAAGTTGAAACAGCTTCTCTGAGCTAACTCTTGAAGTTGGTTCTTATACATCCTTGACACATAAGAAGATTAGAGGCAAGACTACTAGGTGATCAAGGATTGAAAATCACATCAAATAAATGAAAATGAAGAGATTGCGGACCTTTTAACTTCAAACTGTAGACTATAATCAGAGATGAGCTTTGCAAGGTTTGCCTTTACTCCATACCAACTGCATTGAGGATAAAAAGATAGTATTCCAACGTAATTGAGTCGTGTGGATAAGAGTATGAATCCATCTACTACACAAAACATTTCAAGAAATTGAATAAAACTTCTGTCAAACATTCCATTTCTAATTCAAATTCCCCTCGGTCACTTTTGGCTTTTAAAAAGAGGTACTCCTTCCAAGCGACACGAATGACAGGGCATAAAGAAATGCTTAAATGAATCACAGGGCCGTAGCACACCTCAAAAGCCAACTTACCTTTAACAACTATGCATTCAAGATGGACTCAATCCATGCCAGTCCTAATACGAAGACGACTCCAACTAGATATTCAATATGGTCGATTTTGCTATCGACCACAGGTATTCAAATTATACATGCTATGCTACAGGTCCTCCATACAAAATATTCCCTTAGTGTTCCAAATCAATTTCAATATGTGTTGCCTATGTAATCTATTTTTTAAAAATGTGTAATGTTATTTCCTTTAATTTTTAGTTGCAAGAAAAAAAAGTGTCCTAATTCAGAATATCAAAATATTTATGTTGTAAGATTGACGTATAGAAAACTAATATATAAGCTCTAAAATTCCTTCTAAAAACACAGAGGTAGACAGATGTACTAGAAGTTGTGGAGGCCTAATTTTAATTTTTTTGCCTTTGAATATTTTGGACCAGCCCTCAGCTCAAATCCAATTCATATAGCACAAACACATAAATTTATCACACACATGGTATAACCAAAGCCAAAAAACCTCCAATTCACTGGAAAATAATGCTCTAAATCCGTTTACCTGCTAGTTTTTTTGTAATCGGTTATATCGGTTTACAAAATTGATAAAATATGATGTGCACATAATATTTTATTGGAATTTCATGAATAATTCCAACAAAATACGAGTTGTAAAGCGAGAAAAAAAATACTCCCAATCGAAATACAGTTCTGATTAACTAACAGTTTACAAAATCTCACCTGCGTGACGGAAATGAATAGAAACGAGGCTCAGGCGACGGTCTGGTAGCCGGAAACTGGAGTCACGCTACCGGAAGCCGGCGAAGAAGAGATCGATTTGAAGTGGGCGAATTGTAGACCTCGGAAGATCTAAACAAAGAATTGAACTTCGGTGGCTCTCTCAAGGTTTGCATTTATTTACAAGCAAATTACTTCCCTGAGTTCTTATGTGCTCGTACGCTTTTGTGTTCATCAACCGTTCTGCGATTCCATTCAAAAATCCATTAAAACACTGGGAAGAGAGACAGATAGCACAAGATGAAGATAGTTTTTCCTCTGAATGCTGGAATGTAATTACTGGTCAAATAAAAATTGTTACAATGGTGCCCTCCCCCCACCCCCCCCACCCCCCCACCCCCACCCAGGCACCCATCCAACTAGTTTGAACAAAAAATTGACCAATTCTGACCCACCCAACTAATTTGAACAAAAAGTTTTGTTGATCTAGTTGGAATTAGAAAAAGAAATATTTGCATTAAATAGCATTAAAACTTAAGTCATTTCCCTAAATAGTACTTAAATTGTTTTATTCATTAAATAACACTTAATAATGTTTATATGTCCATTGATGACGAATATTTACTTGAATAATGACTAATGCATAATGACTAAAAATGCTACATTGAGAAGAAAAACAATGTGGTGCTATTTTATGTTTTAATGTTATTTAAGTAAATTTCTCTTAGAAAAATTTTGATTTGAATTAGAAAAATTATTTTAAATAATCCCGTCTTTTCCTATTTTCTAAAAATAATCTCAATTTTTATTGTCATGGAAAATAATCTAACACTTCTTTTGTTTGTGAGTTTTGAATTGCCGTCAAGAACTTAACGGATCTTTTAGAAAATACTTATTTTTCGCAAATAAATGAAAGGTGAAATTATTTTAGGTAAATATTCGTCTTTAATTTTTAAAGAATGTTAAATTTATGTTTATATAAAAATATAACAATACAATTTTGTTAGAGATTTAATTCACTTTTTTTTAAAGTAATGATTCAAAAATATTATATTTCTGTTTTAGGGATATATAATAGTATTCTGAAAAATAAATTCCAGTGTCGCTCGAGAAAGAAATTGCAAAACAAAAAGTTGGAGTGAGTTACAAAAAAATTATTGCCTTTTTTGAGAAAAATTGTTGTGCCATTTTCACAACTTTTGAATTATTATTTTAGGTGAAAAATTTGTATTGAAATATTAAAAAATCACAAGTTTTGTAGTGCTATTTTGAAGAAAATAATACGAGTAGTTGTTGAAGATCATTAAACATTTTCAAGTATTGCTAATGAAAAAAATTGCAATATAAAATATACTCCGTATGTAGTGAGGTATATAACTGATAATTTTGCGTCAGAGAAAAACTTATCGTGTTATTTTCACAGTTTTTGTATTGTTGTTTTACAAAAAGCATTTGTACTGAATTATAACAAAAATCACATGTTTTATAGTGCCATCATTGAAAAAACTAATAATAGTGTATTATAAAAAACCATTCGAAGTGTGACCTAAGAAAATAATTACAACTTGGAAAAAAGACTAGTAAGAATAAGATATATAGAAATTATTAAAATATGAGCTCCATATGTTTTTCCTAAAATATGAGTTACAATGTTAATATATAGTATCAAAAATATAATAAGATGCCTCACGTACTATACATTGTCATAAAGCCACAATGCAAATTTCTATTTTGGTAATAAAAATATAAAACTCTTATTTTGAAGATAAAGCTATGACTCTTATTTGAGATTATTTCTTCTACAACTTATAAAAAAATGCAGTGAGTCATGGAGTAAATACATAAGTGAAATTTCGTTTTGTATAATAGGGAGTATCTTATTGTGCAATTTCAGAACTTTGTAATATTACTTTGGAAAAATAAATATTATTAGATTATTGATTGTCAAAAAAGTAACTAGTGTTACTCTCCGGAAATTATTAAATTTGGTATTATTTATCAATAAACATTTAAAAAATATTTAAATTTGGTATTGTTTATAAAATATTAAAAAAGATAATTTATCGAAAGTAATCTCACTTTTTATTTATTTGCGAAAAGCAACCATTTTCTAAAGGATTCGTTAAGAGATCGTTATCTTTTTAACGAAGACACAAAACTTGTGCATATGCAAAGGATGAGATTATTTTCCGTGACAATAGAAAGTAAGATTAATTTTGGAAAAATGCAAAAATGTGTGATTTTTTACATAAATTTTTCATTTGAAAATGACCAAAGTTGAAATAAAATACTCCCTCCGTCCCACAGTTTTTGTCCACTTTTGACTTTTGGAACTGTTCATCTAAGCACTTTGACTCATCAAATTCTCTCAATATGTAAGTCTAAATATAGTCATGTGTGATCTTGTTTGATTTGTCTTAACATATAGATTATTAATATATAATTTCTATAATTTTTTAATATACAAATTACAAGATAAAATAGATTAAAGAAGTGCATTGGATAGTGTACAAAAATGAAAATGGACAAAAACTGGGTACGGATGGAGTGCTAAAAAAATGAGTCGTTCGAGCTTGAATTCGGTCTAGGGGAATTTTTTTAAGAGATTTTTGTGAGGGAGAGTGTTAAGAGTAGGGTTGTAAACGAACCGAATCGAATCGAATATTTATGAAAAATATTCATATGCGTTAAGATGGAGTGATATTCGAATTCGGTTTGAATATTTTTTAAGATTCATATTCTGTTTGTTGAATATATTAAACATATTCGATTCGTTTAAATATTCGGTTCGTTTAAAAGTATTTAGTTCATCTAGATTTTAAAATATTTTATAACCATTTGATATATATATATATATATATATATATAATTTGTATAATTAGATTTATATTCCGAATATATTTGTCAAACTCACGAATCGAATACCCTTGATTCATATTCATATTCGATAAGGATTCGTATATATATATATAATTTGTATAATTAGATTTATATTCCGAATATATTTGTCAAACTCACGAATCGAACACCCTTGATTCATATTCGTATTCGATAAGGATTCAAATATTTATTTAGATTCTTATTCGTATTAGGATTCGAAAAAATCGAATATGAGAGTAACAAACTTCCTTATGCTATAAAATTCAATCGTTTACCTTATTCACAATCCCAACCATCTAAGACCCTCCCTAGTCAAGGAGCCAGAGAGAAGGCGGATCAAAATTTGCTTCATCGTCGCGCAGGTATGCAAATCGACCATTTATCATTTCATCGATGAAAGTTCAGTGGAGAGTAAATTGCAGAACGGAATCTCTTATTGCTTGTAATCAATTTCCTGTACCGGGGTTTGTTTGTACAGTTTCATCAAAGAAATGGCGAGGAAGATGTTAATCGACGGAGAGATTAATAAGCCGAGCGAGGAAGAACGTCACTATGATTTCGATTTGTTTGTCATTGGGGCAGGGAGCGGCGGCGTTCGCGCCTCCCGGTTTTCAGCTCAATATGGAGCTAAGGTAAACTGTAAATACGAGGTGAAATCGTTTGGGAACAGAGTTTGTGGTTAGTGTTAGAAACTTAGCATTTACTTTGATGAAGCTACAAAATGCTTAAGCTAAACGCTAAAGCTAATGCCAAATGGAGCCTTAATCTATGGTGTGCTATAGTTAAAAAAAGCTTGTTGTTCATAGTCTTCATATATTTCCTACAAATATTTTCCAGAATGGTAAAAATAATAATTATAGTTATTCCCTTTATACCTAAATAAATTCCACCTTTACCATTTACAATCAAATTATATCTTTCTTATTCACATTAAACCTTTGTTATAATAAAATCACATCATGTTTTATAAAACTTTTGATGTAGTTATAATATATATATATATATATATATATATATATATATATATATATATATATAATTTACACCAATATTTAAAAAAATTGAAAAGAAAATAACCCATCTCAAACATCATAAACCAAAAACTAGAGTTTATTTAGGAACTGTCTTTTTGAAGAAAAATGACATGCGTTCTCTTTCTCTTATTTGTGGTTAATGATGGCTGGCCAACACCAGAAGCATAGTAGTATATAGTGTATACATTTTGCTTCTTTTATGAAATTGTCTTTCTATGGAGAAAATGACTGCAATTAAATTTTAAACTGTGGAGAAAAATGTATTTGCTGGTGTCTTGTGCATCCATATTTCTTAAGTTAAAAACTTATGCGATTTAGGATGCTGGGTGAATGGAAATGCTATTCATGGTTGCCTATTTTTTTTCCAACTTCATACTTTCATAGTTTAGTGCTACCATGGTGGGTGTATGTTAATCTAAATATAGCATGTGGAAGCATTTTCTTAGCTCTTGTTAATGGTGCCAAGAGAAACATTGAAGACCAAAACTGAAAACTTAACACTCCAGTTGATGGTTATTTGTAGTATGATAATATTCTTGCATGTGTGACATCTACGGGTGAATCTCCCACAGTTTTTTTTTTGGGAAGGGAGGGTGGGGGACTAGCAAGGACTGTTAGAAGTAGCTATTTTAGCTTTGGCACATTTTAATGGGAAATGCATTCCTGTCCTATAAGCACAAACTGCACAGTTATTTTTATTTACGTGTCAAGACTTGGAATCTATGTTGACATCCACTTATTAAATTTTTTTAATGGCATTTGAAGGTTGGAATATGCGAGCTTCCATTTCATCCTATCAGCTCTGAAGTTAGTGGAGGAGTTGGTGGAACGTAAGCCTCTTAATCTTTATATTCTATAAGATACTTTAAGTACAGTTAAAAAACTCCTGATAAATTATGAGTTTCTAGCAATCTAGCCTTCTAAGTAATCCTTTCTTACCAATTCATTTTTATTGGGTGAAGGAAGACTGTTTTTTTCTTATATATACATGTATCTGTTTAAATTAGGTGTGTGATTCGTGGGTGTGTTCCTAAAAAGATTTTGGTCTATGGAGCTTCCTTTGGGCCTGAACTTGAGGTAATACCCGAACCCTTATATTAAAAACATGGATTTACTTGTTAAAATTACATGTTTTTTTTGCTACCATTGGTTTATTAGTTTTGGAGACTTAATTGTTTGAATATTTATGGCGAAGTGGACTTTTAACAAATAAATTTATCATGTACATTGGGACTTGCATTATGCATAAGCTATGATCTCTGATACCAGAACCAGGACTAGAACTAGATACATGCCTATTGAAATGTCCCAAACCTGCTTATTGAAATGTCCCATACCTGCTTATTGGAACGGCCCATACCTGCTGATTGGAACGGCCCATACCTGCTTATTGGAACAGCCCA